AACTAAACTGTTCTTATGTTTAATATGTGTACTGTAAGATTGCTCTTTATTTCAAAGTTCAAAGCATTAAAGCAGACACTGCAAAAATACGAAAATGAGTTGGTAAACTCCAACCCCCACTTCTGTATCTGGTGAGTTGTCTGCCTCTGGGCACAGAGACAGACTCAGCCAGGATCACTTACCAACCCTGCCCAAGAGAAAGAAAATGAAAGCCACTTCTAATTCAAATCTTTCTTCTAGCCATGACTTTTAATAAAGAAGGAAAAAATCAGGCACAGAGGTATGGCTCAAATGGTACAGTACCAGCTGTAAATAAAAACACTGGTCAAGGGACCCTGAGTTCAAGCATCAATACTAGTACATGTGCCAATAGCTCCTACAATATAGACTGCAGTGTCAACCTCTGGTCACTGATCCTACCTATAGCAGAATGCCAAACACCATTTCCAAAACAACCTTGTTCTCTAAAAAGAGATCAAGAACTCCTGTGCTAATACTCAACTATTACTGCAATGTAAATATTCTTTCAAATTGTAAACTGACAATACTAACATATAAAACTAATTTACAGGACCAGAAATGCCTGAAATCCACACATTCTAGACAACAGATATCAAGTGTTACATTGTATTACAGGTTATTATCTGCTGTTTGGACACTCAAGACCGTCTGAGAGCAGTGTCAGGCAATGTGCTGAAAGAATCATATGCAAAATTGGGCAAAGTTTTTAATTTCACTAGTCTCAGCCTTCGTCTTCAATATGCAGTCTAAGTGAAATTCTGTGTTTAATTTTAAAATCCTAAGGCTCATAAGGCAAAACTTCAGTTTTGGATTGAAGTATAATAAAGTTTGGAAAACATCTTAAAAGTATTTCTTTAATTACAGTATGTGTTGGTCAAACTTTTCTTCATTTTAACAAGATCCATGACAAGAAAACTTAAGAAAGGAAAAATTTATTTTGGCTCAGTTTCAGAGGGTTCACTCCATGGCTGCTTGGCCCCAATGCCTGGGTATAGCATCTTCCTTTTAGAAGTGATTGGTTGAAGAACTTCTTCACCTCATGGTGAACAGGAAACAGAGACAGGAAAAACCCAAAGGCAAGACTGCAGGACTCATTCCCAGTAACGTATTTCTTCTAGCCAAGCCTCCTCTTTAAGTTTTTATCACATCTCAAAATAGTGCCACCAGCTAGGGACTAACCTTTCAAAAGCTGAGCATTTGGAGGAACATTTATCATCCCTTTCATAACTTTGTACATGGGAAATACAAATATAAATTTGTTTTAGCAACTGAAATAAAAACTATGGAAAAAGAGTGGTAAAAGACAGCAGAACACAGAAAAAAAATATATCTTGGAGCCAATATGGCTTTGTACCACTTTTTAACCCAGTAAGAATTTTAACTTTTTGTCAGCATCAGAGATCATGACTGTGTTTGGAAACAGGGACTATAAAGAGATGATTTAAGTTGAAATGAGGACCCTCAGAGTGGATTTTAATTCATTCTGACCGTTCATATTCAAAACAAAAAAAGAGTAGACACAAGAAGACACTGTGTGTGTGTGTGTGTGGGTGTGTGCGTGCACACATGCACGTGTAGAAGAAATAGCCTGTAAGACTATTGTGTCTGCAAGCCAAAGAGAGAAGACCTCAAAGGAAATACAACCTATCCATATTTTGTTTTGGGGCCTCTTTACTCCAGAATATCTCCTTCCCCACACCTTCCACCCACTCACACAAAATCTTTTGTGTAAGTCACCTATATTATAGTATTTTGTTGCAGCAACTTAGGAAACTAATACAATGGACAAATCCGTTCCTTCACCTAACTCTAGAACAGAACTTCTTAATTTCAATTCACCGCATAGCAGCACTGTCAGATCTGGGAGGGTTGCACAGAAAAGAATGTGTTCTTATAGTCAGACAACGCTAGATTCAAAGTTCAGTTTCACTCCTTTGTTCTTTAGTTTGTGATCTTAACTAAGTTACCTTGTTTTTCTTTAAAAGGTGTTTATTTTATGTGCCATGAGTACCTAACACGCAGTGGCTTCCTCACTGCCTGTGTATGTAGTCCTCATATAATTCCCTGTACTCCTCCAGGTAAGACAGATTGTAGCTCTGAAAAGATCATGTCAGAGAAGGTGGATCGACTGATCACGTAACCTGCTTCCTTCAGGGAATCTTTTCTGACATTTAGAGAGCTTCTCATTTACAATGTACCGGCTTTTTAATCAGTCTTTACCCCTGGGCGCACGATCTGCCAATCTAGCCTGGACTCTGTCAGACAATTTCTCTAAATTCAAGTCTAAGCACATGACTTGCACATGACTCTTCAATGGTCTCAGCTTCTGGAGTAGGAGCGCGAGGCCTCCTCCCAGTCCATTTCTCTCTTGTTACTCCTCAGTGTCACATATATTAACCCTACAAACTTACAAGTGCTTCTCATACAAAAGTTTTGGTCTCATGCCTCTGTGTCTGTCTTGTGAATTTCCCTTCTCTATATATCCTTTGTGGACTGTTAAATGTCCTCCACTTTTTAAGGGATATGGCACTAAATTTCCAAACCAGAAATTAGCACTGTCTTATAATGGAAACAGACTATTCATAATGATTACCATATTACATTGCATTTAATAAATAAATGTATTTATTTTCTTCAACAAGTGAGTTTTCAAAGGATAGGCATAATTTCTGAACAATTGTTGCATTCGATCATTAAGCACAACATTTATCACAAAACCAACATTCAGTAAATACTGAGTGAGTGAATGGTGAAAGGTATGAGTGCTTATAATTAATCATTTTCACATATTATCACAGCTTCAGGTGAAAAGACCATGGTTTACTAAAGTCTGCATTCACATTTAACATTACTCATTTACTTCCCTGAGCTATATAGTTCATTATACATATTAATTCTTGTTATTGTCATTTGAATTAGATGAGACAAGTATATAATGAGTTAAAGTCCATATGTGATTTAGAATAGGCTCTAAACAAATAAGGGCTCCTTCTCATTCTCCATCAGTTCACTGGGACATGGCTCCTCTGGAGAGATAATTTAACAGATGAAGTACCTTAAATTTGGTTCTTCGTGTCAAATATATAAAAAAACAACAAAAAACAAGACCAAACGTCAGAAGATTATGTGGATTATAATCCTGTAGTACACATGTACTTCAATAAAAAGTGGTATTTCAGTTTTCTCATCTGTTAACAATAGTTAGTGATATTACTGCACAGGAATGGATAGGTACCTGTCAACACTAACTGGAATGACATTCAAGAAGCACCAGGATAGTATCTGGAACACAGCAGGTATTCAGATCCTCACAATAACATGCAACTACAAGTTGAAAGCCCTACACATGGAACCTGGAATAGAAATGGAGATAGGACTAATAGAAGGGTTAGTCCAGAGTCTAGAAAGGAGCTACGGAATGTGCAGTTGCACTCAGACCACCCGAGTTAGGACTCATTAGGACTCATCAGCAGGTCATCACAAATACACGTTGGAATCTCTTTCATTCAAATTCCTCTCCTATAGCACAGACTCTACTGTATAGGCAATGTTTGGGTTGACAGCTTGCCTGACTTAGGTAGTAGGTCCTACAAAACTTAGGAAACAGTGTCAGAAATATAACACACTCAGGAAATGCAGTGAGGATGGAACACTTTGCTGGGGAATTCAGACTGCAAGCAAAAACATTTCTAGGGTATGGTGGTAGCAGTCTGTAATTCCTGCATCCAGGAGCCTGAAGCAGAAGGGATTCAAGTTTGAGGGCAGCTTGTGCTGTAGTATGAAACTATATCTTTAAAATTTTTAAAGAAGAAAATTACCAGAAATATTTGTGGATAATTATGTTTTTAAACAAATTCAGAGAAGGGTCTAATTTTTTCATAAAGAACAAATCTTTGAGTTAGAAGATTATAATTCAGAATTTTATCTACCCTTTCACTGTGTGATTTTTTGGAAATTACTTAATTTTCTATACTTCATCTATTCAATGGAAACAGCTCCACACTCCAGAAAGTTGCTGAGATAGCTAAATGATTAGCTATGTGAAAACTCTTAGACATCATTCCTGATATGCATCATTGGGTTCAACAAATATTAGAAATGTTTATATCCCCACACATCAAAGCATACAAGCAGGATGCACAAGACTTCCACTGATAAAAAACAATTTGTCAGCCAATGACATATAGGGAAAAATTTGTCATGAGCAAAATGCAATTACTTAATACCATTATCTACCCTAGCATCAGATTTAAAAAATAAGAGAAGCTGTATGTTCAAAGCTTGAATTGCACCGTGTTGATTTAATTAATGCCTCATTAAAATAACCATAGCCTATATTTTATACTTTATAATCACTGTAAAACCAATATTTTGATTTATGCATATCTATCTTTGTCATCCAAAGCATAAACAAAAGCTTTCTAGGAATGTAGGAAAATATTCTGATCAGAATAACACTGACTCATCTATCAATGACCATCAAAAAATATTATCAGGAAAGAAAACTAGAGAGCTCTTTTTTTGGGGGGGAAAGGGCCTCTGACAATATATATTCCTAGGTAACCTCTTTTCAAAATGACCAGTCTCACTCCTTACTCACAAGGAGGAATCTGAAGTTGTTAGAAATGGGCATCACTACTAAGAAATAGAAATGTCCTATAAATAGGAAACTCAGTTTTTGGCATTTTCTCCTCTAAGAATTGATAAGGCAAGCATTCTCACATTTCTCAGTTCCCATATGACAGAGGACTGAATAGTTAAATCTTCTGAGATCAAATTTTTGGAATAAGCTTGAAAACTTCAATGATACAATAAATCTGGATGGGGTAGTATCTACTAGCTGGCAGAAGAGATTGTGCTCCTCTAAACAGAAGAAAGCACTGACTGGTGTCACACCTCCCAGAGCACATCCATGCAGGGTTGGGGTTGGGCACAGAATGCAAGAGTCCATGTGGGTGTGGCAGTGAAGAACCACTCACCTTTGGACTGGGGTGCTGTAGCTGTTATCATAGGAATCGTAACTCTGGTCATCATAAGCAGTGCCATATCCATCGTCATAGTCCTACAATATAACAGAAGCATGACATTCAGAGAACTTTCAGGGAAGAAAGCATTGTTCTTCTGTAGTGTATTTCACTGAAACAGAAAACATTAATTATATGTCCAAGTAGAGTGGAAAGAAAGTACAGAGTGGCTTCAGCTCAAATGGTAGTATAGAAACCTCCAAGCCAGACGCCTAGATACTCAGGAGGCTGAGATCTGAGGATTGCCCGGACAGGAAAGTCTGTGAGACTCTTATCTCTGATTAACCACCAAAAAGCTGGAAGTGGAGCTGTTTTTCAAGTGGTAGAGCTCTAGCCTTGAGCTGAAGAGCTCAGGGACAGCACCCAGGACTGACTGACAATAAACAACAAACAAAAACCACCACCACAACAACAAAAAAGAACTTCCAAATGTTCCCTCTACCAAAGCAAAAAGATACTGAAACAAATTGTCAGGTTCACCATTTCAGGATCCTGGAAATTAACCAGAGCTTGGACTCTTTATTTTAAAAAACAAAATGAAAAGCAAGGTGAAATACCAGTAAAAACCGTGAGTTGCTTTATGATATTTTGTCTTATACATTCACATTTCCTCCACCCAACTCTCAACAGGCCTTAAAAGCCACAGAGCCCAGACAGTGAGTGGCTATGTGGAGAAGTCAGAACAGAACCAAAGCTTTTTCGAAGCCTTGTTCTCAGAGAACTATCTTTATCTGTGCTTATCCAACTTAACGCTCATTTTGTACAAAAACCTGACTCCAATCAGGAGTAGTAAAGCAGAGGAGACAACAGGGGTAACACACTAATAAATATAGACCATACAGAATTAGGTTAGAATAGAAACTAAATAACAAAAACAAACATCTTGGAAAAATCTGACTTCTAGAATTGGTAAATAACATTATGTCTGATTTAAAAAAAAAGATAAACTGACACAGAAAATTATAGTCATTCTACATTATAGCAGTTGATAAAATCTTCCTCTGAGGAAGCTGAGAAATTAAACTTATTATAAAAAGAATTTAAATCAGCTCCCCTAAATATAGCCAAGGAACTAAAGATTGCCATTTATAAACAACTAAAGGAAAGTGTGAGTCCAATGCCTCACCGAGTAGAAAATAGTAGCATAAAGAAAATACAAAAGTGAACCAAATTCTTAACTTGCAAAGATATGTTCAGCAGCAGATATGATTAGACAGGAATAATCAGTTAGCTTAAAGACAGATGAATTGACCTTATTTGGTTTAATAATGGAAATGGATAATGGAAACCAAGCTGAACATCAGAGACCTGTGGGACACCATCAAAAGAGTGAACATAGGCACAGTGAGATACCCACAAGAGAGATAAAAGGTGCAGAAAAAGTATTTAGAGAACACTGGCAAATAATTCCATAATTTGATGAAAAATATCACATTTGTAAAAAGCTCAATAAGTTCTCAACAGTTACAAAAAGAAAAACCTGAAAACTACAGCTAAATATGTCATTGTTAAACTACTGAAAAAAAAAACAAAGAATCTTAGCAGTAGCAAGAGAGAAGCAACTCAATATATACCTGATGTCCTTAATATCTGTTTTTTAGAAGTTAAGGATGACAGAAGACAGTAGGAAGGCATGTCCTGAGTAAAAAGACCGTCAACTAATAACTTCGTATTCAGACTGTGAATAGAGTTCAGTGGTAAAGCTGAAGGGATAAGAAGCCCTGGTTTCAAAATCCTACACCCAACAAAACTATTCTTCAAGATACGCTTTACAAGAAAAATCAAAGAGAGTCCTTTGGGAGAAATGACATGTCACTAGACAGTAACTTGAATCCACACAAGAAAATAAAGACTGGTAGTAGACATAAATATATGAGTAAATATAAAATACAATATAAATATATTTTTGGTATGAGTCTTTTTTTCTATTTGATTCAAAAGAATACTGCATGAAGACATTAATTATACTACACTGATACTCTTATTATTATATAGGTATGGCAGTACCAAAGCAAAAGTCAGGAAGAAACGGAGGTATTAAGTATTGCAAAGACTTGTTGAAATGATTTATAATTCCAAAGACATGCATGGAAAAGAACTGGAAAACAAATAATGCAGAAAAACAAGTGAATTCAAGTGGCTTAGAAAACACACACACACACACACACACACACACACACACACACACACAC